CGAATAGACTTAATAATCAAACTACTACACTTAATCTAATTCTTAATTCAACATCGAGGTCACAAATATTTTCATCGATATAAACTCTCCAAAAATATTATGCTCTTATCCCTAAGGTAATTTATCTACTTATTTTTAATAAACAATCTCATTTAATACATAAAAATGTGATAATAATTCTTTAAAGTTATTTAAATTTAAATATCCACCCAATAAAATAAATATATTATAATTTATCGTTGTATTAATATTAATTATAATAAATTTATTAAATTCTATAGGGTCTTCTCGTCCCTTAATTCAATTTAAGCATTTTTACTTAAAATCTAAATTATTTATTTAATTTTAGACAGTTTATATCTCATCGCAACTTTATATTCGTACAAATTAATCGAATTATAAGATAATGGAATGGAATAGTTTACAGTGCGCGGAAATAATAATAATTGCGTACAGAAATTGAAAAATTACGAAAATTGAAACTAGCTCAGCAATAAATCGATAGTCAAACGAACTCGTCACATTGCACAATGTTTAAAACGTCAATGAAACGCTGCTATTGGAAATTCATATCAAAACTTTCATATAAAAAAGATGCTAAACAAAAATCGAATACGTAAAAGTGTCAACAACATGAATCAAATCTCTATTCTATTAATTAATTTATTAATCAATAGAATCTATCTACTTTATTAATTAATTTATCAACTAATAAAATCGATCTATTTTATTGATTCAGAACATTGCAAGTTCGACATTCGCTAGAAAAGTGCAGTCGGAAACAGAAACTGAACCGTTCGCTCGTTGCAGAAACAATGGCGCCGGAGCCGAGTTGCGTTCGCATTCACGGCGGGATCAGTTTGAAAATTAATAAAAATGGCAGCGCTCGAATGCCAGGGACGCGTCGCATCCGCCATTGAGAGATCGGCGGAATTTGTTCAAATACTCGAGAACCGGGATGTCGATTGGGAGAGGAGGAGGCGCCGAGCACCGCCTAAGTAAAGAGATAGGGAAAGTCTACTTAAGACCAGATGCCACCGGTGAAAAACTCGCGGGCAAAATAAATTCCCGCGCGGCCGTAATTAAGCGCTCGTTGCCGGGAATTATACCGGGATAGGTGGAAACGTCTTCGAGCACATCCGCTCGAGTGCCCGGACCTCTCCGCATAATTAAGCCCTTAACATTCCTCGTCTCTTCCTCGGCCGTTCGACCGAAGGAATGCAGTTTCGTTTTGGACGTGTCGCTGTGTACACCGTAGACAAGGTGGATCCACCCGTCGCCAACGTTGTTGCCATCCTCAACGACGACGCGTGTATCTTCCTTTTTCCCTCTGAGCGATCGTTTTTTTTTCACCGAACAGCATCGCACAGCACCGTACCTTTTATCGAAAAGTTGGCCGAAATAAAATTTTCACAGCACAAACAGCTGCTGTAGGATCATATCATAACATCGAATACCGTTTGAAATCTTCAAATACCTGCATGGCTGCTGAAGTATGGACTGTCA